GTCAGTGTAGTTTTATGCCAGTGTACTGCTGCACAACCAGATGGCTTCCAGTGTCAAATATTAAGTGTACCACAAACACTTACATAGAATTCCACTTTGCACGAGTCTGCTGCGTTTCCGTCTCCAGGGGAAAACCTCCATATTGTTTCAAGATGGCTGAAGAGAGATCCATCAGTACATACAGCCTGTTTGAAAACAGTTGATTCTTCATCAAGGATTGCAACAAGGCATCAAACTCATAAAAATCACAAATAAAGCATTATGCCGATAGAAACTGTCTACAGTGCTGTGCAAAATGTGGAATATACCGATTAATAATGAAAGTTTTACAAATAATTTTATGCAAAAGCACATTTTTGTTAAGTGATAGTCGAACAAGTCTAATATTAAACCCCCAGGTCTGTAAAAAACATGTATACTTTAATGTAATGATGGCATTAAGACAGTCATATTTTCCTTCCATCATGAAATGGTGATTCGTTTCATCTTAACTGGTGGCCTACAGTAAAAAGAGCTTTCCACATGTCATACATGTCATAAATGTTTTTATATGTGTGTTTCGGTAGGTGTTGATTAAAAAGTAAGAGACCAGATACTTACCCTGACTTGGTAGTTTGGAACAATAGTGACCTCAGAGATGTATCGCTCGACAAGAGGGGGGAAACCGATTTCTAGCTCTGCCAGGAGGCCACCGTTTCGCCCCCTCATGACCCGAGACTTCTTGCACCAGGGAACAAAGTGCTGATACTGGTCCACACTTGCCACCACACTGTACATCTGCTCTGGAGTATACCTGAACACACAGTCACATAAAACCAGAAACACTTCAGTTTCTATCCTCTGCATCCATTTTTTTTTCAGGTTTATCCAGAACCCAAAGAAATTCTGTAGACTGCTATACAAGATAAGAGGATTAAACTAACGCTCATCAACTCTGCCTGAAATATGACCCCAAAAACACTGTTCACTTTAAAACTCATTGTACATAGTAAAAGGTACTCAGACAAGACTCAAGTTTTTAGCATTTCTTCAAATAAGCCATTATCTGTTATTTTGTTTACATTTCACATAATTATTTTAGTCCTTTTGCAAGGGGGCACTCACCCCAACGTCCGACACTCAGTGTACTCCATCCTGCGGTTACTGATGGGAGCTGCCAGGTTAATGAAGCTTCTGCTTGGCGTGCTTACACAGGTGCTGGGGGAGAACTGGAGGCTTGCCCTTCTTGCTTCCAGGATCCCACAAGAACCCAAGATCCTGAGGAGAGGAAATCATATTTGTGAGCTCTTTAATCATCTGTTCAATCACTATGCTATTATATAAAAATCCCACAATATTTTAATGTATGGCCATCAACACAGTATTTTTCCCCAAAGGCAATGGCAAACATGTATGCTAACATTCATTGTATGTAGTATCAGAAAAGCAAGAGGGCCATATCTGTTAAATGTGCATCTTAAGCGTTGGTTTACTTACTTTTTTCATATACTACAAATTAAACCTACCATTCCTAAAAAAAAAAAAAAAAATGTACAAATTTAAACTATATTTGAATTATCCTGTGACCAATAAAACAAGCGCAACTGCAAATGCCCGTTACTCAAACACCCACCTGGGCAAACCTTGGTTTTAAAATTCCTTTGACTCACCTGAAATTTGCTCTTTTAGTGTTTCCCCGGACAACCTTTGAAGAGTGGGCTTCATATAGCTCCAGCAGCGCTTTGAGGAGAACAGGAGTCGTCTTGTTGGTCATTTTCCCCCCTAGTTTGTGGTGTCGCGTACTAGAGTGATCAAACCAACTATAATAACCGGGCTTTGTTCCGAATGAAGAGACGCACCGCTTATCTAATAAAAGAGCAGTGACGTAACGGGAAGCGCGGCAGCCTTTGGCCAATCAGGTCACTTTGAGGTGAACTTTAAATCACCGGCGATTAAGACAGCAATACTTCCTAAATTAGAACAAAAAATAGCTAGGCTACTCTCAAAATGTGGAGTTTTTTGTTTGTTTGTTTGTTTGTGTCTCAAAAGATAAATTTACACAGATAGACAGTTACAAAAATGTTGGGCAATAGGATCTATATTCTCAGTGGATTTCTGTTTTGCTCTTTCTTATTACGGTTTCCGGGTTGAACCACGTGTTTCCTCAAAAATGTGTGCAAAGGCCTAAGAAGTAGATTTTGTATCGTTTAGTGTGTATTTATGAAGTGATACTAGGACCAACTACAGTTGCATAGCCTTATATATAACCCACATGTTGAAAAGGCAGGCCCACGTTCAGTCAGCTGCATGAACCCTAGGATTAATTTGTGACTGAATTAAAGTGTTTGACAACCAAGTTCAAAGAACTTTTTAAGGTTTCAAAGATCAAGCCAACTCGAGTCCAGGAAAGCACATGATGTGCGCACATGATGAACTTGGACTTGAATACAGAGTAATAAAGATAAAGTTCACAGTGACTGTAGAGGTAATGTTTAATGTAGAATTAGGCTAGCTTTGGGACAGGAGAAAAACTAGATTTAGTTTTCATACATTATACAACAGCTGTTGCCTAATTCTTACTACACAGATCTCCGTAATACAGCTGACACTTGAAAGTCAGCATGCCTTTAAGTGTTGCTGAATTAAGTGGCTATGAGGTAACACAGCAAGAAGAGGCGGTGCAAGATCCATTTAAGTATCTTCGAGAGTGGAATTAGGGCACTTGAGAAGGGAAGGGTTTAAGAAGCACCATTAGTCTTATTAAGGACAGGTCAGAAACTTCTAGGTGCAGACAAGATAACCTGTCTCATGTTAGAATAGGAACTACTCATGGGCTCAACAACCCCAGACTGAGCCAGACACAAGGAACAGATGCTGTGCCAGCTGGCCCTCCTTCAGTCTTTATACATTTAACTTTACAGAGTTCATTGCTTTAAAAGCTAAACGTCAGTATGTTAAGATTATCCCTGTAATCTATTATAACACAACAAGATTTCTTTACTTTCCTTAGTATTTAAAACTCCTTAGATTTCATTTAAAATGGAAAGCCACTCAAGGCCGTTCTTTGTTTCTCTGATCTTGAATCATAATTTCTATTAGCCTTTGTCTTTTTTAATGTCACTGTTGTGTAAAGATGTCACTGAAATAGTATTTTTTGTACTTGCATCTTAGTAGCTACATATAATCGTTGACAGGCCTGTAGTCGATCAGCTGATAGATATCATCATACACCCTTTGTAATGGGTACTTAAGAAAATTTGCCTACAACATGCAGGCTTCTGGGATAAAACACACTTGTTAAATTTCCAGTGTTATTATATAAATATCTATAAATTAGGTCTATCTATAAATTGTTTGTTTTCTGTGGGAATACATATGATCAGTGGACAGAGTTAGTAGTCAGAACTAGCTGTAAAAATGGAAACTGTTGCACAATTTCACTGTTTCACATAATCCCTTACATAACAATGAATACTTATGAAATATGCTTTATGATACTTTATCTGCATTATCAAATAGTCATAGCAGTTTTCCCTTACTGCAGACAGAGATACTGTGCAGGGGCCACAATAGCACCTGTAGATAAATTCACAAAAAGTATACAAGCCAAATTATTCAAGTTATTTCAGGTATTTAAAAACTTCATTTATTGATATATTCTTTACATATTTATGCCAGAATGGGAAATTTAAAGCAAGCATTCAAGCAAGCTATAGAAAAGAAACATATAGTGTCTGTCATTCATACAGAAGTCCCCTATATGACCATTTGTGCTTAAAACAGCAAATCAAAAATCGTCTACGAAAATTTTGCACGCAGTGTTTTGACTTTTATAATGAATGCAGTGATTTGTAGCACGATAGCTCAAAGTAAAAAAAATATGCAAGCTAGTGTGGGTGGAACTAGAGGAATGCAGAAACTGCTCTATCGCTCAAGCATCAGGAATAATGCTTATCAAAAATGTCTCCACCAACTAGAACAGAGTCTATTTTTACATTTTTGTCTTATGATAAGGAGTACTATGTTTAGACCTTACACAAAAATAGAACATGGAGTGAATCCTGTGAACTCTACTCTAGACTGTGTTTCAGGAGTCAAGGGTATTTGAGCAAAACATTAACCCGTGTACATAAAGTAAAACAAGAACAACATTTACACACGAAGTGATGCAGTCGTTACAAAATTATTGCTCCTCAGGTGAGAAAATGATTTTGCTCATAGCACTGATGTATGAGTCATCTGGTTCTGTGACCTTCAGTTGGGTTACAGGTGGCCCAGTAGTGCTGGTGAAGTATCTGAAGGCAGGGCTGGGTGACTGGATGGCATCTAGAAATACCTTCAGGAAAAAACCAAACACATAATAGTAGACACGTTTAGAGATTTAAATAAATTTTATACATATGTGTGTGGTTAGCACATGAAAGCTCACTCATTTATTTGAGCTCTAAAATGATCAATGTCTGGGTTAAATCACTGAATGATAAGTGTTGAGGGATGTATTAATTTTATTTTAACAGAAAAAAGAAAATGATTCAGTGTATTTTAAAATGATTTAATATTACTTAACTCCTTTCTTATTTTGCATGCCAGCCTGCAGACATAATATGTTATTTCAGGCTGTGTATTCTGGATGTAAAAGGTCAACTATGGACAACAATTGTCATACTTAAAATGCATTGTCCCTATAAAATTAAGCAAATGTAATTAAATGTTGGCATTGTTTAAAACCTCAAATAGAAATTAATGAAGTTATGATTTTCTGTAAACATGGAACATACCTTCACAATATCCTCAGTGTCTTGTGCAGCATTTTGGAAAACAGATCTACAATGCTGCAGGTATTTTTCATACAGCCTTTGTGTCTGGGTGTCAACCTGTTGGAGAGACGTATCCCCAAGCTCCGTCTTCTGCAGGTTGACCAAGAAGTCAGTGTTGACTGGACCACACTCAATGAGACTCACACTGTAGGATGTAGCATTTGGACAATGGTGTATCTTAATTCATATTTGCGTCTTAATTTTATACACACAAGTAGTCTTTGAACTAACGAGACAACATGCAGCCAACTTATGAAACTTACTGAATGTTGAAGTGTTTCAGGAGAATAGCCAGACTCTCACATGCTCCCTCTATTGCAAATTTACTGGCACAGTAGACCTCGTTAAATGGGAGCCCTATAAGAAACTCAAAAAGCTTATTTTGGAAATTCTATGCATGGTAACAAGTATCAACATGATCTAATTATAGGGTTTCCATCAAATCACTACAAAAACTGCACATGCAGAACATTGTTGACATTCCTCAACCATCTGCACTTCTCACCATGAAGGCCTCCGGTGCTGCCAGTGACCAGAATGCGTCCCTGGCTCTGAGCCTTCATCTGTGGCAGGAATGCCTGGATGGTCTGGATGGTACCTAGGAGGTTAACCTCCAGGATGTGCCTCATTGAGTTCAAAGACTGCACCTCCAGTGGCCCCATCAAACCCACACCAGCATTACACACTGCAAATAGCAAGGATAAGCACATTAACCCACTCAAATCACATTTTCCAATCCTAATCGGAACACACTGGCACGGGTCCATACCCAGAATGTTTATGCGTTTTTCCACAATCCTATCTCTTGCATCCAGGATGGACTGCCGATCAGTCACATCCATTTGGAGTATGTCCAAAGTATCCCTGTGCAGGCCTTTCACGCTCTCCAAAAGACGCTCCTTTTTAGACAAGTTTCTCATTGTTGCATACACTGAACAGAAAGCTTCAGTTAATGATGAGTTTGAATGTGTATGTAAAAAGGAATTTACAGAGTAGACCCCCAAGGAGGTAAATGGTTTTCACACAACATTTAATTAACAATGTACATGGAATATTCATCTGCTAAGTTATTTGTGTAGGTCACATAAAATTGCACAGTGTACATCATCTTAGTGGTTTTACTGGTTTTTAAAAGCCAGTCTTTAATGTAATGTATATTCTCAAAGAGAAGATTGACACATACACAGCTGTGGTTACCTTTGAATGTTTTGTCTGGGTCTGAGGCAAGCCGGACAGCCAAGCTGAGACCGATCCCCGAGGAGCAGCCTGTGATAAGCACCACCTTTTTATCCATGGAGCCTAACTCACCTATATTAAAAGAGCCGATGGAGCAAAGCGAGGAGGATACTGCAAAATGAGCCACGGAATAAAATGGAGGCATGTTAAAACTGTTTTTACATCTTACGCTATCACAAGGACATTTAAGACTAAACATCTGCCCATTATCAGCCAGCTGGAGTCCTTCTATTTTTTTCTCATGTCCTTGTTGATATAGTTTCATTCCTTCCACCTGAGATGCGTGGGAAACAGATTGTCATGTTTTTGAGTGGTTGATGAATTTTCCAGCAATATAAGTGCATGCACGTTTATATAGGCTGGCTGTGGAAATATAATGTGTGTGCATTTCAGAAAAATATTAGTTTAGAGAAAGAACAACATTGTTTTTTTTAACATATTAACAATGTGTCTGTGCATTGGCTACATTTTTAATTGGCACCGATGACATGAGCACCAGGTGGCAGCAAAACCCTGTACTGGACTTGCACCACACAACTAAAGCCACACTGACCTCTGGGGGCTTGATCGAGGAAAAGAAACATCTCACAATAGTGAGAAAGGGAACAATGGATTTTATTTTAGGACATCAAGTCATCAAGTTTAAGTTTTGTTCATTAAGTGCTGTTCTCATAAGGTCGTTGACTCACATCCTGTTTACAGATTTGTATTGGGTGAAGGTCTACGTATTCTGTGCTCCATATGCTACACCAGCTGATAAAAAAACTCTAAAAATGGTATTAAATGACGCTTTGAGAGAGATTAGTTTTCTTTTGTACTGTTCGCAAATTTAAGGATAAGCTTCTATAATTAGAAGCTGAGTTCAATTCAAGCACAAGGGAAAAAATTGAGTGTTTTCATGCAAAGGTGTAAAACCAGTCTAACGTAATCCTCAGTCTTGTCACCTTTGATCACACGTGTTTGGAAAAGAAGCATTTCCAAAATAAAAACTGCAAACTAAATGGGTTTTTAATGCTGGGAGGAAATAAACGAGGAAGTACGTATATTTCAATTTCAACAAGGATTCTGTTCAGGTGTTTTATTGTGCAAGTTCTTAATGATGATGATTAAATTAAGTTAATATTTGCATAGGAGTGAGTTTTAAATAGGCTCCCAAGAAAGTATAGATAAGAAATAATAAAAATTTAGCAACCATTTAGCGATCGTGAACGGTCAGAATTTACAATAAAATTAACGTAAATGTTCTTTCTATTCAGAACCAGCAAAAGATTGTTATTAAGAATCATACAGTGTATTCTATTCTACTATTTCTTTAATCTCTCCCTGTGCTGTTATCATAACATTTGCATTCTTTTACAGCTGAGTGTTTCTGGTAAGTCAAAATAACTTGCATCTCTATGGAACATTTCAGCAGGCGGATTTAAAAAGAATTTCTTATGTTGATGGGACCAAACCAAGTAGGAATTTCCTGCCATTTTGTTGCGTTCCTCTCCTTGAGATGGCATCAGCTTGGCTGCTGTCCCAGAGTCTGTGGGACAGATAACAGCAGGCCTTGAACCTCTTTCAAATATCTTAAACTCCCAAGCATTGTTCACACTCTTGTACTGGTTGACCTCAGAAATTTAACAGGTTTTCTTTTGCTGTATATTTTATTCATGCACATATGTTTATATGTACGTTGTGATAGTTGTTGAATAAAAGGTGATGAGAAGCATGGAACTTTCTGTGGCTGCTATGCGCAAATGCCGCTGGAAAATGAAAACTGATTATTCATGCATCTTTTTCTGTCTCCTTTAATCCGAAATGCACAGGCTGCACGTCCTCCATTAGGTGTCTTTAGGCTATCTCCCATGGGAGGTTCCTGCTCCACATGGCCTGCAGGCTCCCTTTGGCCCAATAATTATCAAGACAAGGTCTAGTGGAGGTGCACGCTGGCCTGGAAAAGCCTTTAAAATGCCTGTTAAGCAGGACCAGCTCCCAGCACTCAAAGTAAACAGACTTCTGCAGATCTCACAGCTGCTGATGAAAAAAAACAAGGATATCACACATACAGAGCTGTGTCTTTGTGGCATTTTTCGGAGACAAGTAAAGTGCTTGATGGAGAGTCTGCCGTTGAGGTTGCAGAATCAGAATCAGAATCAGAAAGGGTTTTATTGCCAAATGTTGAGCAGGTTTACAACATTAGGAAATTGCTGCGGTGCTTCAGTGCAAACATACTGTCAAAAATTACGCTTAAATAGACATGAAAATAAAAATAAGAATAAGAATTAAAGTGCTAAGTAGATAAGGCTGGCCTTCTGCACTGAGATCACAGGGCAAATAGTGAAAGAGCTACTGTATATAGTACTTAAGGAGGAAAAAGCATGCCAGCTTGCTCCTGTCTGTCTGTTCATGTGCTCCCCCTGCGGTGGACTGAGAGTCACATTGAACTTTGCTGTTCCAAAACAGACCCATGTGATGTAGACCCAGCAGGGTTTCAACAGCAGTGAGCGGCTTCAGAACCAGATGGGCTCAACAGGATATCCCATGTGAGAGTAATGAGCAGAAGTGAAAGAGCTGAAGACGTGTAGTGGTGGTTGTGGTGAAACTTAAATGTCACGCTATACCTGATAACAAGGTTAAATGAGGCTTCACTGGGGGCGTTTAAAGTAAACTAAGTAGCGTTCTCGACACTTTTCCCTCTTTGTATACGTGTAGTACAACAAAAAACCATTTCTACGCAGGTATATCAGAGCTTCCTTACCTGTCATGCCTTTCTATGAGATAATGTTATCACAATAGTTCTCCAAAACAACAGTAAGACAAAAGTCTTATGAAGTTGTCTCGAAGCTGATACCTGGTAAATATTCATTGATGATATCAAGGTGCTCTAAAATTATTACATTTCTTTTTTGTTTGCTTCTCTGTAGGTTTTAAGGACATGCAAACCTGCTGTGACTCTGATTCTTATATAGGTCAGGGTTTTCTGTGTCATGTCGTCTAATAAAAACTGCAGTCACTAAAAAGTCTTTGCACAGTTGATGCAGATAATATGCTGTTCCTTTGAAGACAGAAATGCCACACAAATGGTATAATTTGATTGGTGTGTCTCGTGTTGTCTACATGCCAGTAGATAATGTGACTTTGTTTTGATTTGATTTGAACTTTAATTCCCGTCCAGCCACCTGAAAGTTTTTATTTCACTCAATAAAATGTGCACGTGTAAACTACAAAAATAAGTAAACTGTCTGTGTGTGGGAGTCATTCTGGGCTTCTGTCTGTTGCAGTTGGCTTTATTTACTCATATGTTACAGGAAAAAAATAGAAGGTATCCCCTGTCCTGTGAAACCTACTGCACAACTCGGACCCAAGCGAGAGATCGAATGTATTCCCCGTTCTGAGAATTCATCCAGGAAGATAAAACCCAAACCGAGTCTTTATATCGCATGCCTGCTTAAAAACTGCCAACTGTTGAGAGATGTGGCTTTTGCAAATTGTTTCGTTCTGACAACCTTGGAGCTCGTGGCAGGTTTACTTCTGTAAAGATCAGTTTTTCACAGTTCTTCACATGGTAACATACTGTAGAAGCAGTGGGGCTTACTCGGTCCTGGTAAAATCATCATAAGTGAAACAGGAGAGGATAAGTGGAAAGCATGAAGGGTTTTGAGCTCACATGTACTGAGGCTGAATCAACACATTTTTGTATTTTCTGATGTACAGAAGGCAAACGATTTTAACACAAAAGCTCATTATTTACTATCCTTTAAAATGTATACTGTTGTAAAAGTTTTATTCTTAAGCAATCCAAACAATCGAAAAGCATTACTCGCAAAAAAGCTGTACTTTCATAATTCAGTGTGCTTGCTGTGAGTCGAGGAAACAAATATAGACGTCAGTATTTCGGGTGAAGGCCATTAAAGCAAAGGTCATGTATAAGTTGCATGCGAGGACATTATATTTTATACATGTTTTTTATTTTTCTCAGAGATTTTGATATCAGAGATCTTTCAGGGTTATTTTTTTAAAGTACCCTGCTTGACACAAGTCTCTACGTCAGCCGTAACCCAGATGGCCATTGCTTGACCTGCCGGTTTGGCATTCCACGGGACCCATTTGTGTACAAAACCTCTGCAGTCCAGGAAATGTCAAGCATTGTGTCATGGGAAATGTCTTCTTGTCTTGGATTAACTTTTCTAGACATTCTTTTTCGTCATGACATTGAGGACATCCTGTTCTCTTCTGGGCCTTTAAGCACTGGAGTCTGTCTTGGGACTAGACCTGGCAGTGGACTGATATCTTAGTCGCATCTTGAGCAAAATGTCAAAACAGCACAGTGTTAGCATGCACGCTGTGCCTCCTGCAGCTGCACCGTCATAAAAAAATTGTTTGGTCGACAGACACAAATCTATCTGACTTAGTATCAAAAGCTTTCTCTGTTGTGAGATCGAACTCTTTAGATAACATACACAAGAAAATATGGACCATCAAAATGTAGATTTTGATCAAAACAGAGTTTTTAAGAGAAACTCCATATCCAGCTTGGTGGAGCTCATCAAACATCAGACTAAAGCCTTAGAAATGAATCATTTCATAAATATTTGGTGGATATAGTGAGAATGCCCTGCAGCAGATATTTCAGAGTTTTAAATTCTTGTTCAGCTTGCGGTGTCTTTGTTCCAGGTGCAGCTGGTGAGAAACAGCAAGCAGTCCATGCATCAGTGTTTCTCTGTGATGTGGTGATATAAAGTGATGTCTGGTGTGTCAAGGCATGTAAGTGACTCAGGTATGCAGGTGTATCTCTGATACTGTGCAAAAAGAGTTTGCAGCAGTAAGGCAAGCAGAGAGTAATACTACCACTCTCACTTGGCACAGATGCTTCCTTTTTCCTTCAGTCTGCACTTCCTCTTTCTTCTAATTTCTTTGAGTGATTCACTTTTTTTTTGTCTGAATCATTTCTAAATAATGCTTCTCTATTAGCATTGTTATCACCCTTCCCACACGCACTGATGAAATCAGGAGCACACCCACCCCACACCTGGTTGCCTGGACGCACTTTGTTTACAGTTAGCTTAGAAACACTGTAACCAGGAATGCAGGCATTGCATAATGCATTGTGTTAACAAGTAACAGCTCATTCGCAGAGATAGACATGCACACAACTATCACAGTACAC